AAAAAAAAAAAAAAAAAAAAAAAACAATAATAATAAAATAAAATTTCTCTTTTTAAAAAATAAATTAATACAAAATTTTGGAATTCATAGATAATTTGCGCTTGATTGCAAAAGATTTAAACATTAGTAAGCAAAAGGTAGGACCAAAGGAATTTAAGGTTTAAGCAATCCAACAGCAGAAGGCAAGACACTTCATTGTCCAGTAGAAGAACCGTCTGCTTCAGGAATTTTAGCTCTCTTTTGTTCAGGAGATCTGATATGGTCTTTCCATGGTGATCGATTCTCCGCGAGCAATTTACGTTACGCTACCATCTAGAATGTACGAACGGATACCCTTAACTTCGTATATTTCAACCTTCACATGTTCAAGTCATTCCATTTGCCTCTAGCTCTGCTATGGGGGAATGGCCAACTTCTGGTCGGAAGGATCCTGTCCGAGGTTTCAGATATCCGACATAGCAACATTACTCGGGGCGAAGAACGTTCCTCCTCCAGATCCTTTCGAAGATCCTTTCGAACATTTCCTCTTGTTTCAACTACACAACTGTGTCACATTTCAAGACAACTTCATTTTTCCATTGCATCAGCAGCTCCAGCAAACAGAGAAGCATGCTTTACAACATTTCTAGGCAGTGATCTTCTACAATTCTATAGCTACTCCAGACTCTATCTATTAACACGTGTTTGGAAAGCATGCAACTTGTTTAAGTTCACGGCGCAATCCGTTAATCATCTGATATATTTTATCAGATTTCGGATGTGATCGATCGAACACTGTAAATTCATGAACCTCATTATTGACCTCGATGGAACTAGCACCCGATGGTTTTTGAGTTCCAATACTCCGCATTCTCAACCTCACATCGGCAACACAGTCCCAATCGCCTGCTGCAGCATATATGTTCGACAACATGGATAAATTACCCGGATCAGATGGTTCCAACTTAACCAAATGATCGAGAACCTCTCTTGCAAGTTCGACAGCATTATGCATACGACACGCCCCTAAAAGGGTGCCCCAGATGATGACATTTGGTTCCATTGGCATGGTGCGAATGAGCCTGATGGCTTCTTCAAGCCTTCCCTTGCGACCCAAAAGGTCTACCATGCAACCGTAATGCTCGATTTCATGAACTAGGGCGTAGTCCTTTTCCATTGAAGAGAAGTATCGAATGCCATCGTCGATCAATCCCGCATGCGAACAAGCACACAAGACTCCGATCATAGTAACTTTGTCGGGGGAGAAGCCCTTTTCTTTCATTCTTTTGAAAAGCTCGAGCGCTTTCTCTCCGTGCCCATGCATTGCCAGTCCATGAAGCATTGCATTCCAAGACACAACATCTTTGTTTTGTATGTCATTAAAGACATTGTATGCAATATCTAGCCTACCACATTTTGCATACATATCAACCAAAGCATTGGAGATTTCAGTAGTACATTTGAAATTGTGGTTCCTAATGGAAGCATGTATTTTCTCACCAAGCCCAAGCAAACCAGACTCAGCACAAGCAGCCAATATACTTATTACTGCCCCATTGTCTAACTTCACGCCAGCCTCTTCCATTTGATCAAACAAGCCAATGGCCACTTTGGCTAGCCCTTTCTCAGCAAAGCCAGAGATAACTATGGTCCAAGAAACCAAATTCCTCGTGGGCATTTTATTGAACAACATTTGTGCCATCTCCATATCCCCTACCTTGCAGTACCCCAACAACATTGTCGACCAAGAGACAACATTCCTCTCAGGCATTGCATCAAACAATTTAAATGCATCATCCATTTTCCCAACTTTAACATACCCATCCAACATTGTGTTCCAACTAATACTATCCCTTATAGGCATTTTATCGAACACCTTCCGAGCTTCTTCGTACAAACCACCCTTAGCAAATCCAGAGATCATTAAATTCCACGACACAACATCCCTACAATCTCCCATTGACACAAACAACTTCTTCGCTGTCAAAATTCCACCAGAACCACATTTGGAATATGAATCAATAAGAGAATTCGGCACAAATACATCCGACATGAAACCAAATTTCTCGATTTGGGCATGTACCATTTCAATAACAGGCAACCACCCATTCCCAGTACAAGCTTTCAGAAGAAATGGGAAAGTGAAATTATCAGGGTATAATCCATCAAATTGCATGGTGAAGAAAGTGGAAAAGGCCTGTGAAGGTTGTGAATTCTGGGCGTGGGCTCGAATCAGAGTGTTGTACAAATGGCCATTTGGATATTGAACTTGATTGAAAGCGTTGGTGGCGAGGGGCATTTGGCGGCAAAGAGAGAAAGCGGATATGAGTTTGGGAACAACATAGAGGTCGAGGTGGAGATTGGATTTGAGGATTTGGGCGTGGAGTTGCTTCACTTGGTTGAGGTCTGTGCACTTGTGGAGATCTGATAGCTTCTGCTCGAAGAGCTTTCGAGTGGAAAACCAAGAGGGGGTTCGAGTTAGGACGCTGCACATTTGCATGGCTTCACACGCAAAACTGGCAGATAGAGAAGCTTTAGCCACGCCCTTCCTGTCTTTCTCAAGACAAAGACAATCACAAATAATTACGAGATAAGTTAGAAAAGTAATCTGAAAAAGCCAAAGCCGTGTCGTCGTTCTCTTAGATTAAATAACAGTTTCCCAGCATAAACAACAATCTGGACGCCTCGTCCTTTCTCATTTTACTTTATTCAGATTTATCCTCAACTTTAAGACCAGATTCCTCTTCCATTTTCCGGCAGTTTTCAGCAATCACATTGTTCATAGTAAGGAAAAACCTTAGAAGCAGCTTATTCAAATGGTGTCAATTAAACCAATCAGATTCCAAGGATCCAATTCTCCGCCAATCCAATTCAGAAGTAGTATTTTCTAAAACCAGAATTCATCTAAACACAAAAGTAACACAAGAACAAACAAAGAAGTAGAAACTCTACAGATGAAAAGCCTTAAAATCCCAGTAAACAAAACGGAAAGACACCACACAAGACAAGAGACCATCACCAAATTAGTACAATTGGTAGCTAGCCAATCAAATGATTTAACCTCGAAAACCAAAATCAACCAAACGAGATAAAAAGGCCTTCTGCAAAATCTTTAAGTTACAGACCCTCACTCATACTGCAAGTTTCTTCCACCTTCTCAACCAGAACACAGCGCCATGATCAACTTTCAAACCGAAATTACGATTGTGAAGCTAATGAGCTAACGGTGCGTGGTTCAAAAATCAAAATCATACACCAAAACACATGCACGCATAAACAACAAGAAACGCAGCAACAAGCTAAAAGATGTACCTACCTTGAAATAAACAGAACAATCTTCGACTGAAAGGATAGTAAACAAAGCGCGGTAGAATACAAAGCAGCCGCTTACTGGTCGGAGCTTGCCGGCGGTAAGAATGATTTGCGAGAATGAGAAATTGACTTCGCAGTCCTAATTTTAACCATGACAATGATAATTTGGGCTAAATATCACTCTTAAAAATCAGATTTGTCATCAATTTTGTTAAAATGGCCTCCTTGTTTCCGAAAATGCCCTGAACTAAATATTAGTTCATAATATAAACTAAAAAATATAAATAATTAAAAATTAAATGAAGTAAATAAAATGTGACTTGACATCACAATTACTGTAAGTTTAATTATTTAAATTTTTATATTTATTCATCCTACATATAACATTAATAACTAAATATTTATAGAGCTCCAACACTCACAAGCCATAACACACCACTAATATCGTATCATCAGTTACAAACGTCAATTATTCTTAATATTTGTGAAGATCATAAAAATAGGGTTGGGTTGTAACTATATGGCAGAGTTGATCGGTTATTTTAAAAAATTTAATCTAACAAATGAAGGAAAAAAGCTAACCTAACCGGACCTGAGTTTGGTAGTCGGAGTGATTTGAGTTATCTGAAACACCCTCAAAGGCCATTATTAACTTAACCGGACCCAGAGAACTGCCTTCGCTTTTGGCGTTCCTTCGAAGATTTCCGGATTTCGCCCCTACACACGAAATTCCACTCTCCTCTGTCTCACTCAAGTGAATGGGTTTCGAGAGCATTCCACCCGTTTTTGGCGACTTTCACTTTCAACCCGATGAACCGAGGCCATTATTACAAATTTGAGTTATTTTTAACAATTATTTCGAGGGGTATTCAATCAAAACTCGCACGGACATTAAAACCAATTATACCGCAGAACTTTGCGAAGGCTGATCGCAGGTTTTTTCTACTTCTTCCCTCCTTTGCCCGGCAGCTGCAGAGTGAACACAGCCATGGTGACGTCGCCGGTGGTGAACACCTATCCACTTTCCAGCTACACTTTCGGTACCAAGGAGCCGAAGCTCGAGAAGGACACCTCCGTCGCCGATCGTCTTGCTCGCATGAAAGTCAAGTACTGCAAATTTACGCGATTCCTTAAACCCTAGATTTATTTTTTTTCAACGCCTTAGTTTTGTGTTTGTCTTGAAAGTTAGGAAATTTGTCTGTTTCTTATGGTGGATTCTTGGTCATTTTATATTTGATGTGTATAGCATTACATGAAATCGTGGAAGAAGCAACTTAGTGCTTTCTTATTGCTACCTTGTTTCTTTGTTTCTTCCTGGCCTGAAAAATGATCTATCATTTACCGGGTTTGGAGGGGCATTGAGTGGAATGAGTAACATGTACTGGTGTTTGGTTCACAGCTATATGAAGGAAGGCATGAGGACAAGTGTTGAAGCAATTCTGCTGGTCAGTGCTCATATTTCATCTTAATGTACTCATGGCTTTGCTTCGTTATTAATACTTTTTTGAAAAATTAACGTTTAAATGAACCATTAGGATACAAATGTAGTAGTTGGATGTCATGGTTTGTGTCTTCAGTTGTGAATCGTGAATAATTGCAAATGTCTTCATTACTTACATATACGCATGCAAATAGCTGGGAAAATTGTGTTGTTGAATCCTTGTGCTTATTGAAAGACAGGGATCACTAAATCTGAACATTCATCATCATCATCTTTCAGACTATACCAAAAGCAAGCATCCAATGAAATATTTGTATGTGTTAACATGGGATCTTCCCACCCGTGATATCAAATACTGATTACATTTGTTGTCAAATACATTAATTAATCTGTTTTTGGTTGCAAATCTAAAGTAGATGTTTTAATAGCTCTATAACTGACATTTATGTATTTGGTAAAACAACTCCAGTATATCCAAAATCTTTTAGGATTTAAGCCTCCGCAAGTTGGATTCAGAATTGACCTAAAAATTCAGTAGCAAAATATAAAACGAGCTCACTGAAGTTGATGCTTTAGGAATTGCCTACCATGCATTAACAACTTATTTATGAATTTGTGGAGGAAATTAAAGTCTAACTGCAAGCATTTGGAAGAACCGGTAGGATTTCAGTGCATTGCATTGTGCTTCCCAGCCTGGTCATCATCTAAATGCCATTTTACTAGTGAGATGGTGACATGACAATAGATGGGTACATGCTTTGTTAAGTAGGCCAGCTTGAGAACCGAAGAGGATCTCTTCTCTTTATTCTAGGTTTGAAGGAATTTACTTTATCCTTGAAGCTCTTGATTAGGTTCCCGTTGGGTCTAATAATAAGGAATGATTAAGTAGCCTTTTAAAGAAAGAGGTTTTACTGGTGATGGTATGGAAAAGGTAAGCATCAGACTGTGGAGGACACATCGGAACATATATGTTCTGAAGATATTTCATTTCATATCTCTAGACTCTAAGAGCACCAAGCTGACCGAGGTTGGGGATTTGAATTCATCTGCTAGCCACCTTTATTGATAAACTTTTAGCTCGAGTGTATGTGGAAACTTGATAGACAAAAGCAAACACTGCCAAGGGCTATCATTCAAAACCATTGAACAGGGAATAGACAAACGTGGATGTTGTTTTAGTTGCCAATGTAGTGGTGGACAAATGGAAACTAGAAAAAAGGGCTTGGTTCTTAAGGTGGATCTCCAGAAGGCACACAGTATGTTGACTGGCATTTTTTTTACATCAGAATTTAATAAGAAAGGTCTTGGATGAAACAGATAGATTGGATCTAGAACGACTTCTCTAACGCTGCATAATCAGAAACGGCATCAAGATTAATCAACTATAATATGTCGATGGTAGTTATGTATTTGTGCCTACTGTAACACTAACGTTGAAAAATCTGATTGACGTTGAAGAATGTGGATTGTTTGCTGTTATCTTAGTCGGGCATGAGGCCCTTGTTGGCAGGGATGAAAAATGACTAGGACTTCGATTCTTTTATGAGCCAGAAATCTGAGCTCAATCAGGGAGGTGAATTACAACAAGGGGAGGTAATAATACTGCTGTATGTCCTTAGACTTATATCTCCAAGTTCATTTAGGAAACTAATAATTACATTCTGTTGAAAATTGGAAGGGAATCCAATTAAATCTTGGAAGAATTTTAGCCGCAAAAAGGAGAGTGGCCATTTGCCTCCCTCTTCCCTAGACTTTATCTTCCAAAAAAAAAAATTGGTAAAAACATCAATAACCAATATTGGTTGAGATGCGAGGTCTCTAGAAGCTTGATTTAAAGAGAAATCTGTTGAATGCTGAAATACAGGGGCAGCTTAACCTTTCAAAATTTGATAAGAAAAAAGAACGTGTTGATGAATCTAACGGAGTCCAAAAACAGGAGGATAAGCAATCCAATCCACGGCTTAAGGGGTTTACAGAATGGGACCTCAATTATACAAGGCACACTATGATTACAACAGGCAACGTTTTTAGGGTACACCAAGAGGAGCCCAAGATTTGTTTTTGAAGACTTCGTAGTTTCTCGCAGCCTATAATTTCCACTGCAGCTTTGATAGAATTAGTGTAACAGTCCAAGCCCACCGCTAGAAGATATTGTCCTCTATGGGCTTTACCTTCTGAGCTTCCCCTCAAGGTTTTAAAACGCGTCCACTAGGGAGAGGTTTTTGTACCCTTATAAGGAATGTTTCGTTCCCCTCTCCAACCAATGTGAGATCCCACAATCCACCCCTTGGGGGCTTAGCGTCCTCGCTGGCACACCTCCCGGTGTCTGACTCCGATATCATTTGTAACAGTTTAAGCTTACCGCTAGCATATATTGTCCTCTTTGCTTTTCACTTTCGGGCTTCCCCTTAAGATTTTAAAACGTGTTCACTAGGGAGAGGTTTCCACACTCTTATAAGGGAGAACAAAATGCTTCGTTCTCCTCTCCAATCGGTGTGAGATTTCACAATTAGACCAAAGAATTCCAGTTTCATGCCTTTGTGAGTTGGGCACTGAAAGTTTTTTAAATTCACTAAGTCAGTCTTTTGTTTCTGCAATTTAGTGACTGATATTCAAGAGAGTCATGCATTGGTGTAATTTTATCTTTTCATTTTTTTCCCCTTTCAATTCCACAGGTGCAAGAACATAACCATCCCCATATTCTACTTCTGCAAATAGGCAATACCTTTTGCAAGCTCCCTGGGGGCCGGTTGAAGCCAGGAGAAAATGGCAAGATTTTATTTACAATTCAAGCCCCCCCCCCCCCCCCCCCCCCCCCCCCCCCCCCCCCCCCCCCCCCCCCCCCCCCCCCCCCCCCCCCCCCCCCCCCCCCCCCCCCCCCCCCCCCCCCCCCCCCCCCCCCCCCCCCCCCCCCCCCCCCCCCCCCCCCCCCCCCCCCCCCCCCCCCCCCCCCCCCCCCCCCCCCCCCCCCCCCCCCCCCCCCCCCCCCCCCCCCCCCCCCCCCCCCCCCCCCCCCCCACACACACACACACACACATCCCATTGAGTAAAATCTCTCTCACGTTTGTTTTAACATCTGCAGAAATTGAAGGTTTAAAGAGGAAGCTGACGAGCAAACTGGGGGCAAATTCACCCGCTCTCCAGCCTGATTGGCAGGTTTGGATCATTTCTTCTATTTTGGCGTGCAAATCTATTTTCTGAAGTTATATATGTTCCTACGAGGAATTACATTCTTCATCGCAAATTTCCTGCAGATTGGTGAATGTGTGGCTACTTGGTGGAGACCAAACTTTGAAACTGTTATGTATCCTTACTGCCCCCCTCATATTACGAAAGCCAAGGTATATAGCCTCTCTCAAACCCCCCACCCCCACCCCCTATAGTGCTTGATGACATTTGTTTGTGGTATCTTTGACCAAGGTTTAAAATGTTGATATCAATGAAAATTTTGACGTTTCATTTTATGAAAATGTGATTGAAATATCGATAAAATGTCGATATTTGATAGATATTTCTGGAAAAAATTATGACAAAAATAAAAAATTCAAAAAAAATATGTGCATCAATAAATAACATTTTATTTTTTTAAAAAAGATAAAAGGCTCATTGTTTATCTTATATACATAGTATTCATAGTGACGTTTTGCTGCATTTTTGCTAATTTCATTTGAACTTGTGGACGT